TCCTTATGAATCTGGATTATGGTTGGCCATGTCCTGTATGCTATTCGCAAGGAAATCTCCTTAGAGTGTTAAATAGTCAAAGACCTAGAAAGAGAGCAGGCATAGGGATATGTCATGGTGGAACGACATAGAGTGAGGCTGACTTTTTAAGCAAGGTTCCTGACCTCATATAACCCTAGGTAGGTAGCCATCCCTGAGGCAGCTATGGTGGATGTGGTCATACTAAGTGGTATGTAGAAGAAACTAGAGAGATTCTGGAGTGTTTTTTAATGAAGTTCTTAAGTTAATTTATTTTCCATATATCCCTCCTTTCCTTCCTTCCTTCCTTCATTCTTTTTTTTTCTTCCACAAGTACTTAACTGAGTATTTAGTATGGCCTAGGCATTGTCCTAGGCTTGGGGGAAATAGCAGTGAATAAGACCAGGCCCCTGCACCCTATGGAGCTTACACTCTGGTAGAAGAGGTAATAAATAAGTAAATAAATAATTTGTAATTTCAAGAATAGACTATTTTATGAAAAACAAAAATGAGCAAAGAGTATGGCAATTCCTTAAAAAAATAAACATGGAATTACCTTATGATCTACCACTTCCTGTTCTGGGTATATATTCAAATGTATTGAAAGCAGCAAGGTCTCAAACAGATATTTGTACACTAAGATTCATAACAGCATTATTAATAATAATTCAAAGGTGGAAGCAACCCATCAAAGTCCACCAATGAATGAATGGATAAGCAAAATGTGGTCTATACATACAATGGATTATTATTCAACTTTTAAACAGAAGGCAATTCTGACACATGCTATAACATGGATGAACCTTGAAGACATTAAGCTATATGAAATAAGCCAGTCACAGAAGGACAAATACTGTATGATTCTACTTGCATGGGGTTCTTAGAGCAAAGTTATAGATAGAGACACAAAGTAGAATAGTGGCTTCCAGGGGCTGTGGAGAAGGAAGAATGGAGAGTTTTAGTTTAAGGGGTATAGAGTTTGTTTGGGAAGATGAAGAGGTTCTGGAGATGGGTGGTGGTAATGTTTCAACAATAATGTGAATATACTTATGCCCCTGAACTGTACACTTAAAAAGGTTAAAATGGTAAATGCTATGCTATGTATATTTTAACTTGGGATGACATAGGGGATAACTTTGGGATTTTATTCTAACAGCAACAGAACCCCTTTGAAGGATTTTGAGCAGTTAAAGGACATGATCTTAGTTACCATTTTGAAAGATCATACTGGCTGCTGTGTGAAAAGTAGACAGAAAGGGAGGAAACCTGGAAGCCACAAGACCAATTAAAAGACTATGGCGAAGGAAAACAAGATGGCGGCGTAGGTCACAGCTGCACCCGCCGCCTCCCGCAACCACATCAAAATCACAACTAAAATCCAGAACCACCATCACCCAGAGCCTCCTGAGATCCGGCTGAATAGAAGCCCCACAACCAGGGAGCTGAAGCAGCACCGAGACCGGGAGGAGGGGGAGACGCGGGCGGATCGGGGCTGAATCATGGAGACACGGCCGAGGGCCCACACCCGGTTCAGCAGTTGAAACCCAGGAGGGAATCTCGGCGGCGGACGTTTCCCGGAGGAGGGAGGGGTCCCAGCCCCACAGCAGCCCCCAGCCCAGGGCTCCAGGGCCGGGAAGAGACGTCCCCACAACTCCGGGCTGTGAACCCAGCGGGGACTGTCCCTGAGGGTCCCGGAGGCCGCGGGAGCCCCAGCAGCTCCTCTCAAGGGCCCGGCACGGACTCACTCGGACGCTCCCTCTGAGCCCAGCGCCGGG